TCAATTATCAATCAATGAAATAGTAGAGACTTTTAGTGATCATCATTTGGATAACAAATAGATATTTTTTTATAAAAATGTAACCTTTTATCACACCTTTTTTCAAATAACTAGTCTTCTACGAATCAAGATTTAAAACTCTAATAAAAGAAGTTTTTCTTACATTAGCCCTAGGTTAAACCTATGCATTGACAAAGAAATACTCAAAAACAGATAGCGCAGCACTATCAAGGCTCATCTTTGTTCCCACAAAATGTAATGTGGAGCATTAGAACCAATTAAATGTGTGACTATATGTACATGTTTGAAATACGCTCCACTTGATCACGATATGCACGCGTGGTTTCACTTGACGTTATGGTGTTCTCCTTGCCCCGGTACCCAGACCTAGAAAAGGCGAGAACTCCATTTTCCGTATCATTGTCAGCCGTCCTCTGATCGGCCACATTCACAGATCGGAAGCAGGAAGTAAAATCTCGAACCGGTTGACCAGAATAATTTAGATGATAGGAAGCTTTTCCGGTGGCTGCTGTGACTGCAGAGGCATCAGTGGAAGAGCGTGTGGAAGCAGGTAGATTAAGTGAACTTGGTGAGGTTGTGGACCTGATTTTAGGAGACACGGCAGAGACCTTGACCGGTCCGACTTCAGGTCCGGGAAAAGAAGATAAAATAGAACAAGATGGATTAGAGATAGGAGGGGAGCAAGTAGATGCGGCAATAGCTGCTGAGATAGCAGAAGAGGATATGGCAATAGTGGTAGGAGCTGAAGAGGGAAGTGGAGGCTTTTGACGGACGCCAGAAGTATCTGAGCCAACGGCGGAGGCAGCATTGTAGCCATTTGCCAGGGTAGAATTTGAACAAAAGCCTCCGTCAGCTCTGGCAGAATCCCGCTGAGAACCGACTGGAGGATGCCGCTTATTTCTAATTGCATCAGCTGGTTTAGTGGAAAGATCTGTAAATAAAAAAGTTCGTTTGGCATTTTTGGCAAAATCAAGGTGAGAATGTGTAGATGAAAAATTGGACAGTATTTTTCAAAAAATCTCTTCAACATCGGAGCCCGTGGCCCG